CCAGGCAAAAGGGACGTCAGTACAAATAATATGTCGAGTATGTAAGGAATGAAAATCAGTAAATAATAGACATGAGAAACATGGAGTAAAAGACTCAACATGTAAGTCGGAATAACCCTGTGAATCAATAATACTTACAATGCCATGCATATGCGTATAAATGTCATACCATGCATAGGTATATGCGTACATAACATCAGCAAGCCTCTGAGGGCATCCCATCATATCATCTCGGCCACTGTGGGCAAATCATCAACGTATATCAGCTGATCAGGTGGTGGTGCGTATATAATACCGTAACATTTTCCCATATCCCATATACATATAATATACGCGTATATAATGCCATCCGGTCATGGGTCAATGTACATGTATAACTGAATGAAATGCATATAAAATACATTAATAAGATTTCTCAGAATGTCATAAGATCAATATGCCTTTGATTAATATCATGAAATAAACTTTATCAATTTACGTATTTTCTGAGACCCATGAACAGATGATAAAACAATAGGACACATGGGGAATCAAGAACATAGGCACTTCTAGTACTTCTATGAATAAAGTCATTTATGAAAGTCGTGCATTTGCTCATTTCGTTTGTATCATATTGATCATGCCAAAAGAAAGAAGGGATAGCCTTAACATACCTGAGCCGATTCTCTTGACAATCCCTCTAATACACGTCAAATGCGACAAAACACGTAACAGCGAATCAAAGTAGCGAAAAATCCATATGATATTTTTGAGAAAGATTGTACTGTGCTCTCTTACAATCGTATATTTCACTACTGTAGCGTTATAAGGGTTCATAAGAATACCCCTTGAGAAAGAGAATTCCATTCGTCAGAGTATCCAACGTTGCTAGTCTTTGCAAGCAACGTTATCAAAAAAGAAACCAAAGGACTCTAAATTACATACGGGCTGGTCCTATTATCAAATAAGAAATCATACAAGCAACGTTGTTGGTCCTATTCTCTAAATTACATTCCTAAATAAGAAACCAACCAAGGTAGTTATCCAAAGGACTCTTACGTGTAATCAAGGCAACTTATGTCTTTTGACTCATCATGAATTGGTGCCACTTTGGCTTAGCTTAATGCCATGTGGCAGCCCCATAAAAATCCTTATCCATTTAATCCTACTTAATACCATAATTATCCCCATCATTAATCAATTATTCACATAATTAAGAATTATCTTAAATTACTTAAAATACTACTCACTTTTAACACACTTTATACACCTTACTATCATTGTCATGTGGTACTTTGTATGGCACTAGTCCATAAATACGGGGTATTATAGCTTGGACCGTATTTTATCTCAAAATGTCAAACTTCGCCGAAACTCATTTTCTTCGATTCGCTTACCCTTTCACCTTCACGAATTTACTTATCACTTGCTTGAAATAGCATGACACTAATAATCTCAAAATAATCTCATTCCAGAGCTTGCGTCGATTAACTTACGACGAAACTTTAACATACAAAAATGCGGGATGTAACATCTCATTTCCGAGCTTATATCAATTTACTTATGGCGTATTTCCACGTACGAAAACATGAGGTGTAACATCAACCTACTCTCAGTCTCACAACTCACTAAGGAATTAAAGAGTATGGTTGGATTTTTTCCTTAATTTTGTATTTTCAAGATCTCTACAATGGTTAGTGAAGGGGATTGGTAAAGAAGAACATGGGCTCAATATAATGCATGGAAGTATCTCAAAGCAGGTTTTATGTCAGGCACCAAATAAGTGTGTTAACACAGCTAATAATGTTGGTACTTCCAATTCTCTTTAGTACAGAAGATAAGGACGTTGCTCCTATAGACATAATAAGAAAGGTAGAAGATTTTAGTAAGCACTCTAGTAATAGTCATTTGAGTTAGTTCACTGAGATATTTTGGGACCGTATAGAGTTCCTAAACATGATGAAAAAGGATTCTTTGTTATTATAGTTGATGATTACTCTAGATTCACGCGGTCTAATAACTTCTAAGTCTGATGCCAATGTAGAGATGAAAAACATCTTTGTTCAAGTTCAGAATGTATTTTCCACTATTGCAAAGACCTTGACAACTGATAATGGAAGTGAGTTTTTAGTGTTGATTCAAAAATTTATTATCTTGTCTTGGAATTGTGCATCAAAGTACGCGTGTCTATACACCTCAACAAAATGTGGTTGTAGAAAGATAACATAGAACCATACTGAATATGTCCAGATCATTAAGGTTTCAAGCTGATGTTACTCTGGAGTTTTGGGGTGGGTGTGTTACTACAGCTGTATATATATTAAATAGACTTCCTTTTAGAGTTATTGGCTACAAGTCATCCTTTGAGATGCTTTATTTTCACTCTCCTTCTTTTTCACATTTGAGGGTGTTTGGGTGTTTATGCTACTAGCCTAAAAGTTTTAGAAAAATTCTCACCTAGGGTTGTACCTATTGTGCTCATGGGCTACCTCCTCAACTCATAAGGGTTATCTGTTGTATCATCTGCACTCTAATACCTTTCTGGTAAATAGGAATGTAGAGTTTCAAGAAGACGTCTTCCCCTTTAAACATGTACAATCCTCTAGTAATCCAGTGTTTCCTGTCTTGGATTTGCTATCACCAGAGATATCTCATGGAAATCCTGAACTATCAGTAACTCCAAGTTCACCCTTCCTTAGCTCAGATCTTGATGACTCCTCCGATACTATCACGACCCAATTCCCACTATAGGACATGATGGCGCCCAACGTCGATGTTAGGCAAGCCAACGATGAACTTTCAACTTAATTATCCATTTTATTACTTTTAAAATTATAGGTTTTATTAAATAAAGGGAATTAATGCGGAGAAAAACACGGAGATATAAAGCATTAATAAACATAAAAAGGAAATGGTGACAAGATCAAGCAAAACCATAACATCTACTAGAATTCCCAAAAACTGGTGTCACAAGTGCAAGAGCAATCTAGTAGAATATACAAATCACTTAGCTACTGTATGAAATGAAATAGACAGAAATGAAATATAACAGGAAGGAGACTCCGGGTGCTGCAGATCAGAGTATGAAGAACATCTCACCACTAAGTCTTCGGATAACGGGGATGTGTGCCCGAATGGCCACCAGATGTACGTGCCTCCGTACCTGCACAATTAGTGCAGAAGTGTAGCATGAGTACGTAAACCAATGCGTACCCAATAAGTATCGAGTCTAACCTCGAAGAAGTAGTGACGAGGGTCAACATCGACACTTATTAGCGGTCAATAAAGAAAGTACAAGAATTTTAAAAGGCATGAAATACAACAGTAACAATGGAATAAGAAACAGTATATAACATGATCCTTTAACATAATGACAGTTTAAAATCCCCAAATATCATGTGCTATTTCAACAAATAAGAATCATCAAGAAACATCAAATCTCAAGTCAAGAAGGAAATATCGTATATTCTGGCTCCTAGCGATATTAGCACGAGTTATACTGAGGTCGTACGACCCGATCCATAATAATCGTGTACATACAGTACCGATGTCGTGCGGCCTGATCCATGGATGCATTTCAAATATACTGCCGAGGCATATGACCCGATCCACATGAATATAGAAACTCTTCGAACTACGGGTCAAACAACTACAACACAAGGATGGGCACATAAAGAAAGCATAATTTTTACCATCAATCAAATATTCTACCAAAATGCAAGGTAATGAAGCTCGTCCTAACATAATTCCTAATCAAATTTCAATTATAAATTTAAGTAATTAAAGTAACAAGTTGAGTTCAAATAATACAAATCTTGCATGATAAAGTCCTAAATCTACTCGGACATATATATGATTTTAGCTACGTACGGACTCTCGTCACCTCGTGCGTACGTAGCACTCACAGCTAGTAGCAAATAACAATTTAAGCACCTATGAGGATAATTTCCTCTTACAAGATTAGGCAGGAGCCTTACCTTGCTTTCAAGTCCTCTTCTCGGCCCTCAAACCACACTAATAGCCTCAAAATAACACCGAGCAATTCGAAACTAGTCGAAAGTATAATCAATATATTATCAAAACTTCATAATTCATCTATTAGAGTAATTTCCCAACCCAATTCGGAAAGTTCCTAAAAGTTACCGCCGACGCCATATGTCCGAATTTTGGAAACTTTTGTAGATAAATGTTACCCATGACTTTACAAACTTAAATATATAATTCCTACTCAATTCCATAATCAATTTCGTGGTCAAATCACATTTTTACCAAACCTTAGGTTTTTCAACATAATCCCATAATTTTCACAATTTCTATGTTAAAATGTACCCATAATCTATGTATTAAACTCACATTGGGTAGAAATCACTTACCTCAAAATGCTAGATGAAAATCCCTCTACAAGCAGCTCTAAAATCGGCCAAAGCAATGTGAAATTGGAGAAAATGATCTTACGTCCCGATTTTAAAACAAGGTTCTGCCTAGTGATCCTTCTTCGCGATCGCGGGAGGCTCTTCGTGATCGCGAAGGAAAGTCTGATCAGGCCCCAGAAATCCCCTTCGCGAATGCGGCCAGGTCCTCACGATTGCGAAGGCTAGCCCAGCCAAAGCTTCGCGAATGCGAAGGGCAATGACCTGCTGACACCCCCAGACCCAGTCCCTTCTACGCAAACGCGGGTCTTCCTTTGCGCACGCGGGTCTTCCTTTATGAACGGAAGGCCACTGGTCCCTAAGCCTTCGCGAACGTGAACCCATGATCGCAAACACAAAGCACAAAAATGCCTCAGCCGCAAATTCTTCATCGCGAATGCGAGGCAACCTCAGCGTTCGCGAAGAAGGAAACCAATACCACCAAAATCTACCAATTTGGACTTAGCTCCGGGTGGTCCAAAACACACCGAAGCCACCCGGGACCCGTCCAAATGCACCAACAAATTCATAAACATAATACGGACCTACTGAAAGTCTCAAAACACGTAAAACAACATCGAAACCATGAGTCACACCTCAAAACCAAATTAATCACTCTTTGAATTTCAAACTTCTTCCAACTAGCCCCGAATGTGACGAATCATACTTAGACAACTGGAAATAATGCCAAATTTTATGCATAAGTCATAAATCATTATACGAACCTATTCCAAGGCTAGGAATCCCAAATGGATATCGATAACACCAAAGTCTACTTCAAATCAAACTTAGAAAACTCTAAAATCTTCAAGACCCCAACTTTTAACAATAAGTGCCGAGATGCTCCCGGATCACCCAAAACTCTATCCGAACACACGCCCAAGTCCATAACAATCTTATGAAGTTGTTTACTCAAAATGTTGACTCAAGTCAAAGTTGGCCACCTTAGGCCAAGAACTAAGTGTTCAAATTTCAACCCGAACCCTTTCAAAATAAAACAAATCATCCCCGAAACCCATGAAAAAGTAAAAGCACATATGGGAAGTCTTAAATAGGAAGACGAGGATCTATAAAGCAAAATGACCGGTTGGATCGTTATATTCTCCACATCTAAAACAAATGTTCGTCCTCGAACGGGTGTAGAATCATACTTGGAGTGCCGAATAAGTGTGGATATCTGCTCCGCATGTCCTCCTCGGTCTCCCAAGTCACCTCCTCGACTAGTTGCCCCCTCCACTGGACATTTACCGCTGAAATATTCTTAGACCTCAACTTGCGGACATGCCTGTCAATAATAGCAACTGGCTCCTCCTCATACCCCAAGCTCTTATCTAGCTGGACTGTGATGTAATCTAACACATGGGACCTGTCGGCATGGTACTTTCGGAGCAGAGACACGTGGAAAATCGGATGAACTCCCGAAAGACTAGGAGGCAAGGCAAGCCTATATGCAACCTATCCAACTCTCTCCAACACCTCGAATAGACCGATGAACTTCGAACTCAGCTTGCCCCTCTTTTTGAACCTCCTGATACCCTTCATCCGCGAGACTTTCAAGAGAAACTTCTCGCCCACCATAAATGATAAATCACGCATTTTGTGATCCGCGTAACTCTTCTATCTGGACTGAGTTGTGTGAAGTCGCTCCTGAATCAACTTTACCTTATCCAAGGCATCCTTTACCAAATTAGTACCATATAACCTATCCTTGCTGGGCTCAAACCAACTAATGGGGGAATGACATTGTCGACCATACAAGGCCTAAAATGGAGCCATCTTGATGCTAGACTGATAAGTGTTGTTATAAGCAAACTCGGTCAAAGTTAAGAATCGATCCCACCACCATCTGAAAATCAATCATACATGCTCCAAGCATATCCTCCAGAATCTGAACGGTCCGCTCCGACTTCCTATTAGTCTGCGGATGAAAGGCCGAGCTAAGCTTTACCCGAGTACCCAACTCACTATGTACAACTCTCCATAAATGTGAAGTGAACTGAGTGCCTCTATCTTAAATGATGGAGATAGGAACACCATGTAACTGGACGATCACCTTAATATAAATCTGGGCCAACATGTCTGAAGTGTATGTAGTCATCGCCGGAATAAAGTTTGCAGACTTGGTCAGTCTGTCAACAATGACCCAAATGGCATCAAACTTCTTCAACGTCCACGGTAAATAAATGATGAACTCCATCATGATGTGCTCCCACTTCCACTCCAGTATAACCCTATACTGAAGTAAGCTACCAGGCATCTAGTGCTCATACTTAACTTGCTGGCAATTCAAACACCTCGCCACATACTCAACTACGTCCTTCTTTATCCGCCGCCACCAGTAATGCTGCCTCAGGTCACGATACATCTTCGTGGCACCTGGATGAATAGAATAACGCAAACTGTGTGCCTCCTATAGAATAGCCTCCCTCATGCCATCAACATTAGTAACACATAGGTGACCCTGGAGTCGCAGAACACCATCATCACCGATAGTGGCATCACCCCATAGTACCGTCTCTCTAAGAACTAACAATTCCGGATCATCGTACGGACAAGTCTTGATCCGCTTAAATAAAGAATACAGAGCCACAACACATGCAAGAACTCTACTGGCTCTGAAATATCCAACCTCACAAGTCGGTTAGCTAAGGACTGAATGTCCATAACCAATGGCCTCTCCCCTACTGAAATGAATGCCAAACTACCCATACTCTCGGCCTTTCTGCTCAAGGCATCTGCAACTACATTTGGCTTACCCGGATGATAAAGGATGGTAATATCATAATCCTTTAGTAACTCAAGCCACCCGCGCTGCCTCATATTAAGGTCCCTCTACTTAAACAAATGCTGCAAACTGTGGTGATTGGTGTAAACCTTGCCCGAAACCCCATAAAGATAATGCCTCCTCCAGATCTTGAGGGCATAAACTATCGCGGCCAACTCCAAATCATGCACATGATAATTCTTCTCGTGGGGCTCAGCTGACATGAAGCATATGCAATAACTCGCTCCTCCTGTATCAATACACAATCCAATCTAACACGTGAAGCGTCACAATACACAGTATACATCTCCGAATCGGAGGGCAAAACAAACACTGGTGTCGTCATCAATGCGGTCTTGAGCTTATGAACGCTCGCCTCGCAAACATTGGACCATTTGAACTGAGCACCCTTCTGGGTCAATCTAGTCAAAGGAGCTGCAATAGATGAGAAACCCTCTACAAACCGCCAATAATAACCTGCTAGCCCCAAGAAACTCCTAATCTTGGTCGCTATGGTAGGACGAGGCCAACTCTGAACTGCCTCGATCTTCCTAGGATCCACAATAACCAATAATCAATATCCGTTCATAGTTTTTGTAATGCCAAGTTTACCAGCTTTTCTCAATAACCAACTCCCTATGAAACAATATAATAAAGAAGTCGTACATCACAATAATAATGCAGATAAAAGCTCATATGGCTAAAAGATAAGCTATATAGCTAATCATGTAATTCAATTTATCACGACAACCCAAGAAGCTATTTAAGAATGCACGGGTATAATCATATTATTTAACATGAGTTAATTAATCCATAAAAACCACCAATTCATTGAGCAAATAAAACAAGCGTATGACTACGGATTTGCAATAAAGCTCAACATGGCTCCTAAATCAGCAAGTCATAACCGCATGCTCCTAAATCATAATTAAGAATTATCACAAAGTCATGTAATCAATTAAAATATAAATAATAACTTCGCATTGTCCAAATAAGGCATAACTCAAGTCACCATTACCGGATATAGTCAAAACCTAGCTACTCGTATACGCTCGTCACCTCGCATGTACATGGCTCCTAAATCGAGCAACAGTAGCAAATAGATCACTTATGGGGAGCGTTCCCTCAAGGATAGACAAGAGACTTACCTCACCCGATAATCTTCAACCTTCCAAAATAGATTTACCTCTCAAATACACCTCTAAATGACACGAATCTAGTCAAACACAACTCAATAATGCCAATAAAGCCATAGGAATTAATTCCAAACAATAAAACTTCAATCTTTAATCAAATCCTCAAAAGTCAACAAAGTTCAACCCAAGCCCACATGGTCAAAACCCTAATCAAGGGGTAGATCTCGACTACCCATAACCCCTCGAGTCCAAATATGTGATTAGATTCCAAAACTAAGTTCAAATCTACCCTCAAATTCCAAAATACACCCTCTTAAGTTGTAGAAAAAAATCCCAAATTTCACTTTAAAATTCCAAGTTTTATGTGTAGAAATCCTTGGGGAATAAAGATATATAGCTTAATCCAAGTAAAAATTCCTTACCTCTAATGTAATAGTGAAATTTCTCTTCAAAGTTTCCTCTTCTCGAAGTCTATGGTTCAAAATATGAGAGAATGGATGAAAACCTGAAATAAATCACTTAGGTGGTATGCCCAGGCATACCCTTCACGATCGCAGTCCAATTGTCCTTTTCGGGAAAAAGTAATTCAAGAAGAAACGATGTGTTACTTGTTTATGATTTTAACTTGTGCTTCGATTGCCAATCATTTTACTGCATTTCTCGGAAAGAAATTCATTGTGCTTAAAGTCTTCATTACTAATGAACCTGAAGTTGTGATTTCCGGAATATTGTATATATTGATATTTAGGATGATGATCCATGAAAGGAAAGATATGAAAGTGTGGATTATGAAATACGGCCATTGTGCCATGAAAGAAGAATCATATGTATTGCCAAGAGAGCCAATGAAATAATAATATTATAAGTGGTTGAAAGTACGGATTAAGTGATATAGGGTGTGAAAGGTTATGAGATGTACGTATTTATACTTTTGTTTCCAATGTATTATAAGCCCTTACGTTCTTGCAAGTAAAGACTATGATGTTCCTAAATGTTCTAAATTCTCTTAATGTTCTATGATCACCCATGGCAAGTACAAGTAAGTGATAGTATGAACATGAATTGTGATTGTTGCCTAAATGAGAATTTCGAAGTGTTGTATGTCCCAATGGTTTCAACTATAGTTGTATGCTTCTGAAATAATGTATGTAAATGACTTTGATTGTTAAGTCCCCAAGAGTCATGAACCTAGATAATGACCTCAAGAGGTCAAGGGAGTGAATAATGAGATGTCCTTTGTTAAATGATGATGAACCTTAAGAAAAGGAATTGGGCCCATGTGCCATTGAAATCGACTTATTGATTTACCATACATGCGCTAATGTAATGAGTTGTGTTTCTCCATGATGAGCACGAACATGAAGTATTCCAATGATAAGAGTAATTACGATGTTAAATGCAATGACAAACTATGTTGCTTTGAGTTTATATATGGTATTGTGGAATACATCTCCACCCGCATATATTGGGGTGAGGCGGCATGACCGCTTTGTATTGGGATTGTGGTATTGTGATACACCTCCATCTGCATATATTGGGGTGAGACGGTAGGGCCGCTTTGTGTTGGGAATGTGGTATTGTGATACACCTCCATCCGCATATATTGGGGTGAGACGGCAGGGCCGCTTTGTGTTGGGATTGTGGTATTGTGATACACCTCCACCTGCATATATTGGGGTGAGGCGGTAGGGCCGCTTTGTGTGGGAATTGTGGTATTATGATTACACCTCCATCCACATATATTGGGGTGAGGCGGCAGGGCCGCTTTATGTTAGGATTGTGGTACGGTGATACACCTCCACTCGCATATATTAGGGTGAGGCGGCAGGGTCACTTTGTGTAGAGGTTGTGGTTTCGTGATACACCTCCACTCGCATATGTTGGGGTGAGGCGGCAGGGCCTCTTTGTGTGAGGGTGGTTATAAAGGATCCCCGACTTAATATCGATAAATTTGAATGGAAGCTCTTAATAAATTTGCTTGACGTTAACGGCTATCTAAGCCCATTTATTATTACCATAATTCATCATATTCATGTTGTATTTCCAAGTCCTTGAATAGGTGTATGTGTATTGTGTAAGTGAACGTTGTGAACGGTCTATGAGACGCATAGGTGTATAATATAATATGTGAACACTAAGGACGGTCTACGAAATGTGTATGTGTAAAATAAGGGAGGAAGGTGCCACTTTCGTTGGCATTGTTTGTACATGTTGATACAATTACATTATATTATGTATTCCACGTATAGTTCATATGGCGCAGTTGATCCTAAAAGAAGGTTAGAAGGATGCAAGTATAATAAGACTTGAAATGTGATTTTATAGGATGTTTCGTAGTTTCTTGATGTACTTTATTTGCCTCTTATTTGAGTTACTGTATTTTCATATGTTGTTTTGACTGCCTTACATACGAGTACTATTCCACATGTACTCACGTCCCTTTTGCCGGGGGCGTTGCATCTTGTAATGGATGCAGGTATACTTCTACAGGATGATATGGATCTTTGATAGGGATCTTCTTCACTACTTAGCTTATGGTGAGCCCCCTACAGTTCTAGTGGGTATTTGGGTCTAGTTCGTTTTATGTATATAGATATTCATTGTCATAGAAGCTCCATGTATAATGTGGGTCATGTAATTAAAGATTTGAGTTTTGTCGTGTATTTATGTTCACAATATTTACAGCTATTTATAGAGTTGTGTAACCACCACGAGAAAGAAAATATGGGTCATTGAGCCAAGTATATTTAATATGAAAGTCAAGATCTTATTATGTTATGGTAAATCATGCATGAGTAATGATGAGAGGTTAATGTAAATTAGGCTTGCTCGATTGGGATTACTTGGTTGAGAGCTGGTCGCGCTCCTCGATTTCGGGGCGTGACATTTAAGGACATGATCTCTAATATTATGATGTTTAATATCTATATGCTTAACTCTAGAATGATGCACAGGATTTTTAGACAGACAAATAGCACTAGAATTATCACAAAATATTTGAACATGTTTAAAAGATAATTCATAGTCACCCAATTGATGTGACATCCAGAGTAATTGAGCACAACATTGTCCAATTGCAATATACTCGGCTTCGATTGCGGAAAGAGATACTGATCCCTGTTTCTTACTGTTCCAGGAGATTAATGCCTTTCCCATTAATTGGCGGGTGCCACTTGTGCTTTTTCTGTCTTCCTTGTCACCTGCAAGATCAACATCTAAAAATCCCTCAAGTTTAAAATTGTTAGAGCGTGGATACCAAAGTCCATAAGAGGTGGTTCCGATAAGATAGCGAATTATTCGCTTTACTACAGTTAAGTGTGACTTCTTAGGAGTTGACTGAAACCTGGCATATTTATAAATACTGAACATGATATCTGATCGACTAGCAGTTAGATATAATAGAGATCCAATTATTCCATGGTACTTTGTTTCATCTACTGGTTTTCCATGTTCATACTTGTCAAAACTTGTAGAGGGACTCATAGGAGTTCTAATTAACTTGGCATTGCTCATTCCAAACTTTTGAATTAATTCTTTTGTATACTTGGCTTGGTAGATGAATTCCATTTTCCGACTGATGAATTTGGATTCCAAGAAAGAATGTCAGCTCTTCCATCATACTTATTTCGAACTCACTCTGCATGAGATTTGAGAAATCCTTGCACAAATGAAGATTAGTACTACCAAATATAATATTATCTATATAGATCTGGATAATGAGATTACCTTCAGTGGATCTTTTGATAAATAAAGTAGTATCCACCTTACCTTTGATGAACCCATGATCAGTTAAAAAGGACCTCCATCTTTCATACTAAGCTCGAGGGGCTTGTTTGAGTCCATAGAGAGCTTTAGCTAATTTATACACATGGCAAAGAAATTGTGAGTTTTCAAAGCCAAGAGGTTGTTTTACATATACCTCCTCATCAATGAAACCATTTAGAAATGCACTTTTGACATCCATTTAAAATAGTTTAAAAACCTTTAAAAGATGCATAGGCAAGCAGTATACAAATTGATTCTAACCGTGCTACCGGTGCAAAAGTCTCATCATAGTCGACTCTTTCCTGTTGTGAGTAGCCTTAAGCTACTAATCTGGATTTGTTTCTAACTACCTTTCTTTCTTCATTTAGCTTGTTTCTGAATACCCACTTTGTTCCAACTACAGTAACATTTGTTGGCTTAGGTACTAGTTCCCAGACCTGATTCTTGTCGAATTGATCAAGTTCGTCCTGCATAGCTTGTATCCAGCTGGAGTCTTTTAGGGCTTCATCTACTTTCTTTGGTTCTACTTGAGAGATGAGTGCAATGTTTGCCTTTTTATTTTAGAGATCCTCTGGTTTTCATTCCTTCGCTTGGATCCCTTATGATAAACTTTTGAGAGTACTCTGGTTTGCTTCTCCATTCATTTGGTCGTGTTCCAAGTGCAGGAGTAGTTGACTCCTTTTGTGGTTCAGTAGGTTTTCTCAAAGGTTCACTAGTTGACTCTGTGACTATGTCTGTGCTATCAGTCAACTTTCTGTGACTTGTTTGCATGTGGTGCTTCTTGACTGATATCTTCATCACCTGCAATGATTCCTTTCTCGGCCGTAGTATTATTATCATCAAATATAACATGCACTGATTCTTCTACAGATAAAGTACATTTATTGTAAACTCTAAAAGATCTACTATTAATGGAGTAGCCGAGAAAAATACCTTCATCACTCCTTGGATCAAATTTTTCAAGGTTATCCTTACCATTATTGTGGATGAAACACTTACTTCCGAACGGACGAAAGTAGCCTATATTAGGCCTTTTTCCTTTCCATAGTTTATATGGAGTCTTCTTCAAAATGGGCCTTATGAGACATCTGTTAAGAATATGTCATGATGTACTTACTGCTTCTGCCCAAAAATAATTTGGCAATAAATGTCCTAATATCATTGTTCTAGCCATATCTTGTAGAGTTCGGTTCTTGCGCTCAACTACCCCATTATGTTGGGGTGATCTTGGGGCTGAGAAATTGTGAGTATAACCTTGATCGTTGTAGAATTCTTCAAAAGCTCTGCTTTCAAATTCTCATGCATGATCCCTTTGAATGGTTGTGATAAAATACCATTTTTCTCTTTCAATTCTTTTGCAGAAAATCTCAAAATTTTTCAATGCTTCATCTTTATAAGATAAGAAAATCACCCATGTAAAACGTGATTAGTCATCAACAATAACAAAAATATATTGTTTACCTCCAATGCTGGCAGTTCTAGTGGGTCCAAACAAATCCATGCGAAGCAATTGTAAAGGCTTGGTGGTGGACACAATGTCCTTGGTTTTGAAAGAGTTTTTAGTTTATTTACCAATCTGACATGCATCACATACATGATTTCTAGAAAAATTGAGTTTGGGAAGACCAATAACTAAATCATGCTTGGAGAGTTTTTCAATTAAATACATACTTGCATGACCAAATTTTTTATGCCAAAGCCATGGATCATCAGATATGGATGCTAAACAAATATGACTATCTAGATTTTCAATGCCATCAAGAATATAAACATTCCCATACCTTTTACCTGGAAGAATAATTTACCTGCCTCATCTTCAATGGCATATCATGTTTTCTTGAATTTAACTTCGTAACCCGAATCACATAGCTGACTTATACTCAAGAGATTGTAGTTGAGTCCATCTATAAGATATACCTCTGTAATATCACAATTATTGCTGAATAAAATTGTGTCGGTACCAACTATCTTTCCTTTTGAATCATTACCAAATTTGACATTTTCTCCATTTATTTATGTGACTTTTTTGAACAAATTTTTGTCACCCGTCATGTGACTGGAACACGCACTGTCTAAATACCTTTTCCTTTGCGACTCTTTCTATGGTGTTCCTGCAAAATAGAATTATCATCTTTTTTTAGGTACCCAAGCTTGCTTGGGTCCTTGTTGGTTAGTTCTACTGGAATCAGGGTTGTTTTTGGGTTTCCAAATCCATCCTGAAACATTAGATTTACGAAATCTACAAAAGGAATATTTATGTCAAACCTTGTTACAGTAATGGCACAGAGGGGTTGATCCAGTTTTCGATCTACCACTTGTATTAGTACTTGTGGACTCAGTTCTAACCGGTCCTTTTCCAGTTGACTTGTAAGTCGCCTGGTTAGACTTGACAGAACTGTGACCGGTGGATTTGTGCATGTCATTAAGTTACATTTGCAATTCCTGAACCTCATCTTGAAGCACATCTCTTTCGATTTCACGGACTTCAAGCTTAAGTTCCCAGTCCTTCTTTTCCCTATTGAGTCTCTTTAATTCATTCAACATTTTTTAGACTCCTTTAGGGTAAGGTAAAGAATATCCTGTAATTTATTACATCTATCACTGTTATAGGGTCTTACCTCGCTTGTTTCACCTTGTGCCATGAAACAGTTTTCAATGTCTTCTTTGCATTCATCGTCTGATGCATCTTCATCAGTTCAGCAACCTGAATATTGGTTCATATCATTTTCCAAAATAGTCATGAAGCACAAATTTACTATTTCTTCATGTTCTGAGCTATTTTCATCACTTCGGCTACCGAAGGTTTTGTTTTTATTGAACCCTTTGGAGACTTTTCTTTTAAGGTCTGGGCATTCAGGTTGAACATGGACATACCTTCCACATTCAAAACACTTTTCGTCATTTTTGTCTTGTTCGTTGTATTGCATGGTTCGTCAAGATGACATCCTTCCCTTTTTGTGTTTCTGTATCTTCTCATCAATCCATTCATGTTTCTTGACACCATGGCAATTTCTTCTTCAAGAGCTTCTGGATCATCATCAATATCATTTTCAAGTCCTTCAGTTGTAGTTTTGAAAGCAATTATTTTCTTCTTTTCTTCCTGACGTGTTTTCTTGAGATGGGCTTCCTCAAATGCTATAAGATCTCCTCGTAGTTCATCATATGAAAGTTTGTCTAGATCTTGAGATTCAAGTGCAACTACTTTTGTCTGCCATATGGTAGGCAAACTTCTCAGGATTTTTCGAACTTGATCACAACTTGAGTAAGGTTTACTAAAGACTTTCAGATTACTAATAATTTTGCTGAATCTTGCAAACATCTCCTCAATGGATTCTCCCTCTTTCATCTGGAAGAGTTCATAATTGTGAACCAACAGGTTTATCCGAGTTTCTTTCACTTTGTTGGTTCCTTCATTGGTAACTTCCAATTTGTCCCACATTTCTTTGGCGGTATCACAGCTTGAAATTTTCTCATACTCTTCTCCACTTATAGCATTATTAAGCAAGATTTGTGCCTTAGCATTAACTTGAACGACAGCCATTTGATCGTCTGTGTATTCATCTATATCTTCAGGATCAGCGGGTGGTTGAGCTGCTGCTAGCAGTGGATAATTCTTCTTTTTGATAACACGTCATACTTTGACATCATAGGACTTTGCATAAATTTCCATGCGCACTTTCCAATGGGAGAAGTGTTGTCCATTGAAATATGGTGGCCTTACTTGCGATGTCCCTTTTTGAAAGAGTGCTCCAATAGTTACTTGGTTAGACATGAACATTCTCACTAGCTGTTAAGCAAAAGATAAAAGTGTGAGAGCTGCTCTGATACCAATTGAAAGTACAATAGAGGGGTGAATTGTCGATTTTTCTTTTTTGTATCCTAAGTAGATGACTAGTTTGCTAATTAATCGACTGAAGGTAAGAACAGAATATAAATAAAGCAGAAATAAAATGCAGGAATTAAAGACACTAGGATTTTTATACTGGTTCAGATTCAATGTGAATCCTACGTCCAGTCCCCTTGGGTTGCAAGGGTGTTCTCTTTCAGTATTTGAAGTTTCTCGATATAGGAAAGTTGATATAGCTTTACATCAACAGCTTAGTCACTATGTTACTTCTCGCTTCTTGATACAATGCCTCACTAGTATTTTTCTCTCTTTCTTCTCTCACTAGTAACACAATAGATCTAGAGTGAATTACAATGCTTGTTTAGTGGTTCGTTCAAAGTATGTATGTTCCAAGCTATTGCATTGGGTATTTATACTTCGTGAGGCCTTCATGACTTGTCAATCTTGAGAGATTGCAAACCCAAGGGAGTTGATCTCATAAAGGAATCGTAGATTAATTCTTTCCAAGAATAGAATATTTCTTATGTTGATTTGCCTTGACTTGTGGTCTTGATGTGATTCTTCCTTTGTTGAGTGGATATTCCCGTTATTTGAAATATCAAATCAAATCCCTTGATTTCGGCTTCGATTGACGTCCTTACATGGAGGAATCTTCAGTGCATGATTTTGTGCCCTTGATTTCCTTTGATTGAGGTCCTTCCTATAATATCCTCCTTGATCTCAGGCCAAATCCTTAATTGATTTTGCCTTTGATTTTCCGCTACTCCTTCCTTTTTCGTCTTGATTCTTTTATGCCTATTTTCTATTGCTCAAGAAATATTTCTGCACGTAAAGAATAATTCGTTATTCTGCATCATTAAAATCAACTTAGATCTAACACGACTTTCATATTACATTTCCCTATGCGCAAACTGAGCACTCCGTACAGCCATCCCAAACTTAACAGAGACAAGGGTCTCTTTTCTGTTCTCAAGATAGCTTTTGCTGCTCTCTCAATCCACGATAAATAAATTGTTTGTAGCAGGGAGAAGGAATCTCTTGTTTCAGTTGGTTGATTGTAAATCTGTGATGCAGTTTCTTTCACTTTTGCTGCAACAGGTGTACAACAAGTGGTTTTGTTATATGTTTTCACCCATCTCATGTCTTTAAATGTACTAATACTGAATTCAAGAAATGAGGATTGTTTTTGTCTGACTCCTTTTCCCACAGCTTAATATTAAGATGAGAGCACCGCTAGTTTTTCATGCCGCTGAATAAGTTTGCAGAAAGAGAGCAACTCTGTAGGGACATATGCTAGGCTTAGTCTTCTGCGATGATCTCATTCTCTGTTCTTAAAGGCACACATGGTAAACTAGACATGAAGAAAGAAAAAACACTTAGTGAGGTGAGTTTAGGGGCAGGCAAAGTACAAACAAACAACGTTCATTTTTGTTATAGATGCTCTTTTTGAACCTCAATACATACAACCTCGGTTGAAAGATCACGACCTTTACGACAAGCAAACTTATAGTTGCAAGGCACAGCCCAAACTTGAGGTGATGGTTTAACACAGTGCCACAGTATGATCCGGAGACGAGTTCGGTTCACACACTAGACATGAAAGTTGTGATTTCACATACGCAATATCCCATTGGATTTATGAAGTTCTGCCTTGACAACGATAAACAACAGCTGCTATCTTTTCCATCAAATTTCCTTGCAGTGACATTTTTCACCAAATCTTGGATCCGACAACACAAGCAATTCGGGAACTAGTGACACTTCCAAGCAACAGTTAAGAGCTATCAGTGTATCTGCTGGAAATTTAGCAGAATTGCACAACCATCTTTATCTATAGTTCTTTCTGGCTGCTATCTCCTGCAACATTAACATTACGTGCTGCCTGGGCCTGAATGGCACACTGTCTCAGCAGATCCTTTAGTTTATCTACCAACTCTAGGAATGTTGGGCGTAGTTGTGGCTCACTGAGGCGGACAAATCAAAGAAGTTGCATATCAGTTAAATTATATGCATAATAATGTTCTAACAGAAGTGATTTAGAAGAAAGATACATTGATCTTGCAGTCAAGGTGCTTAATGATTTAGCCAGTGCACCAAATATGTTGCAGCCAGTAATTTTGATGTGTCACCTCTAAACATAAATTTACTAGAACTCCGTCTTTTGAACAAATGATGTACCACATTAAGCAAATAAAGCCTTCTGGTTTACAGACATCAAGTATGAATTATTTTTGTGGAAGAGCTTCACTCAGGTTATATATTTTCAAGTTATTCCATTTTATTTTCCCCAATCATGATGAAACATCTTTATATGTTTGGATTTTGTGCCAGTACAGCTTGTCAAGGACACAAAACTCGAGTATAAACAGGGCAATAACTATTTTCTTAAAAAGCCTATTTGCTTCAATTAACCAAATCGTAATGACGACAAGAATAAGATACAAACCTATGCCAACAGCTCTCTATAATAGAAGCCCACTGTGGATTAACATCCTTCGGGATATCTAGCCGCTGATTCATGAATCCTACTGCTCTGATCACCTGAAGTGACTCCAAATAATTGTTCTCAGATGCTCAACTATAAGAATACATTTCCTTTCGATTTTTCATCTTTGGGCTATATTCTTCTTGGAGGGGGTGGGGTGTTTCCAATCTGGACCAAGCAAGGGAATTTTATGGTATGTAATCCAAGTGAAGTTTCAGAGAGAAGATGAAAATACCTGCATCGAGTTGAGGTTATCCCAAGGGATCTTTTCTGTGGCAAGTTCCCATAGTATCACACCGAAACTGTATATATCAGCCCTGGATGCACATCCATTTAAGAAACAATATCATTATTTACTCAGGAATCTTCATGAAATTCATCAATATCATGATTTAAACTCTTATTGTTGGCATACTTCTCATCTGAAGGTTCATTGCGAAGAACTTCTGGAGCCATCCATTGTGGCTGCAAGAGAAATGAAGTTTGACATAAAGTCAGCCAAGGCACTTGAAGTTCGAATATGCAGGTGAACTAAAGTAGCTAATATATATGCTAAGAAAAAGAGGTCCTCAGTTCAAGTTGAATACCGTTCCTTTCCCACTCTTTGTTGTTAGATATGTCTCGTGCTTAAGACGTGACAGACCAAAGTCCCCAACCTATAGATACTTGCATAGTGAGAACCTCAATACAACTAGAACCTCTAAGTGACAGAGGTTTAGGAGTCTGGCAAGGAAAATCAGCAGTAAAATGATAGTGTAACCTTAACGGTCCAATTCTTGTCCACAAGAAGATTCGAAGACTTCAGATCCCGATGAACTATAGGTGGGTTGAAATGATGAAGATAGTTCATGCCACGAGCCTGAAGAAGCAGCATAAAGAAACACATTACAGTCGAATAACATGATTTACCATGGTAATGCCAAATTCCAGTTGATCTTGAACAAAAGAAAGCACAATCTTACAAGTCAGAAGATCTTGAAGAGGAAAAATAAAAATGATACTTTTTCCAGAAGAAATAATGGATGCTACTCATGATAATATGAAATGTTCTAGGTATTACAGATTTCATAGGAACTCACTATATCTAAAGCCATTTGAATACGCCGTCTCCATTCTAGTTTGGATGCATTCCTCTGTAGTAACCTAAACAAACTTCCTCTGCATAAATGGAAAACGGAAATGGTTTGTAAATTATATGATATCATCATAATAATAGAGACATGACAAAAAATACGAGCTTAACAAATTGGTTTTAAGAACTGAAATTGACCGTGGCAGGAACTCTGTGACAATGCAGAGGTGTTGAGATGAAGTTACCGCACCCATGAAAAGAAGAATATTTGGATGTCGGAGACGTTTCATCAGTGACACCTAAGATTAGCAAGCATAATATCTCTTAGAAATGCTTGGTGATCAAGAATAACCGTAGAAAACCAATCACCATTATTTAATTTGAAACTGAAAAGGATATGTTATATCTCGCACAAAACCCTTCTAGAAGGACATATTTAGAAGAATCTTTCAGATGATTATATGCAAATATCACATGAAATGATAAGATAAAGTGCTTTATTATAATAACGCTTTTCCTAACAGGAACCCTCTAATACAATACTAGTCAGCACCTAAGCAGAAAGTGAAAGCAGGAATCCAGATGAAAAGTAATCAAAACAAAAAGGAGAACTATAGAACCAAGGAAGTTTTATTTGAGATCTTCACAGAAGTTAGGACACGAGCAAGAGAAGTATTTCCAAGCAGAGATCTTCTAGTACTTTTCAAAGTGAGTGGTTAATGCATAGAACTTCACAGCAGATGTGGAGTGTGTAAAGCGACAGCTTAAGAATATTAATTCACTATTAGCATTAGATAGGTTAGTTTGATTAAGTGGCTTTTCAAACAAATTCTACAACTTATTAAAATTCAACTAGTACCTTTACTGTTTTTATCTACGGTTATCTAGAGTCATACGTTTTAGGTCCATCATACAAGAAAATGCAAATCTCAAACACATCAATGATGAGGAAGAGAACAACGCTGCTCAGGGTTATGAAAAGTTCTATTCATTCTACTCTTACCAATTGAGAGCCCATAATACTCAATAATAACTGTGATATAGCTTAAGTGCTATGAAAAGGGCAGCCCGGTGCACTAAGCTCCCGCTATGCTCGGGTCCGGAGAAGGGCTGGACCACAAGGGTCTATTGTACGCAGCCTTACCCTGCATTTCTGCAAGAGGCTGTTTCCACGACTTGAACCCGTGACCTCCTGATCACATGGCAGCAACTTTACCGGTTACGCCAAATGCTACAGAAAAGCAATTTTCAATATGGAAACAAGTAAAAGCTTTTCACAATTTATTCATGAGAACCATACTGACCTCCTGTCTAAAGGAATATATGACATCATCAGAATATTCTTGCTTGGAAAATACTTTAACCGCAACATCCTGCAAAACAAAGACATCACTTTACAAAAGTGAAGCAGCACAATCACTTCTTACTGGCTGTTCCGCTCCTTTAAAGTAACCAGTTAATCTAGAACTCAAATGACAGTCATAGAAAATGAGAAGTGACATGTCAAACACTATTCAAATACTGGCTTAAAGAAACTTAAAGTTTTAAACATTAAATTGAAATGGAGCGTATAATGAGAAAAAGCAGCTAGAGTTTCGCCCTTTGTTGCCTTTTTTTTGGGGATAAGTGTAAGCTCCTGTCAACTTGATAACTAAAACACGCAATATTTGATAACAAGAGATTTCATCATGCCACAGTATGTTTGAAAACACTTAAACAGAGCTTCTTAGGACATTCTCTATGAATGGAATTTCATAAAAGAGCCAGAGAACGTACTGATCCGAACCACAGCCCATGATAAACAGTTCCACAAGAACCTAGTGAAATATAAACAAAGTAAAAGTGAGAATGATGAAACAGAAAACATGATAAACTCTAGTAGAACCACAAAAGACATAAATCTGATAGCTGTAACACAACAGGGAATCTTCATTGTGAAATTAGTGTGTAAGCTTCGCAAATATGCATAGAAGTAATTAGTGTAAAATTTTGTCCAAGCTTCTGATATTTGGCTGAACGTCTAAAAGTACTGTAAAACAGAGTGATAGAATCATACATGCTTATTAATGCCTTAACAAGAGGAAAAGGTCTGCACAACTGATAGACTTATCTCTGAAAATTTTACCGATAAACAAGAATTTGACGTACCCTGTCCAATATGTTCTCCAATTGTCAAGTCCTCCCACAAGATTTCATAATCCAAGCAGTCAGCATCAGTATCCACTTTATTACCAGCAGTACTACTGGTACTATCGCTACTACTAGCACTGCTTGTGCTATTAACATTAAATGACGATGACCAGGATCCCCAAGCCTCATTGGTCGTTGTACGGTTACTTTCAATAACCTGATCGTCTGATGTTGACACTGCATTACAACTCTTGCAATGATTCCACTCATTATCTTGGTCGTCGTTTAGCCAGGGCCAAACAAAGCGTGTAGTCTTTGCCTCTAACACTTCCCGCTCATTGCCTTTCCATGGCCATGATAAGTTCTTCTTAACCATCCATGCCTCTGCCTTTGAAGTTATAATCTTAGAAATCCCCGGTTTTCCCTCACTCTCATCCCCCGAGTCTCTTGAGGGTTTTTCTGGAGAGTGCTCAACATTGGAGAATACCTCAAATGGAGAAACATGAACATCTCCCCTGGGTGTACTCGCTCCACTTGGATTTGCATCTTCCCTGTGATCTGATAGAGCAGCGTCAGAAAAAGCATGATCAGAATGGTGACCATATCCACTTCCACCTTCCCGAAGAACGCTGCCCTCTCCAGTTTTCATTTTTGACTTAACCTTGTTGCTCACCTTTGAAGCCTATTTGATGTTTCCATCATGTTAGCACATGCCCACCTCATACAAACAAGAAAAAACAAAAGCAAAAATAGAAAAAGAAAGCATGCCAAACAACTCCATACTAACCAAACTCGATATTTTGGAGGCAATGGCAACTTGCAGAGGTTGCTGTGGATTAAGTCCAAGTCTCACAGAAGCAATGCTTCTAGGCCTACCAGAACTTTTATCAGCTTCGATATGCTTCACCTCTGTAGATGTTTCTTGAAATGGCCTCACGTCACTTGATACACAAATAATACCAATAAATGTACCATCATCATCATAAAGAGGGGTATCTGTTGCTACGATTAAAAATCTGTCCCCTAGCTTATTCCTCACAGGAAATTGTCCAGTCCAATTCTCACCCTTTGCCACTCGGTATAAAATGATTTTTGCCACAGCATGATCCTTAGGATCTGCTATTAGCTCAAGAAGATTCCGCCCAAGAGCTTCGGCAGCTGAATAACCATATAGTTGTTCAGCACTTTGATTCCTGCACAACAATTACAACCCAATTTCGCAAAGGAAGTAAATTCTGTAGTCCCAGTTTGGTCCTACATTTTTAAGATTCAACAACTGCGCATCTATCCCAACTAGTTGTGGTCGTCCATATGAATCCTCAATTTCCATTCCACTCCATTAGGACTAGTTTATTTCCTATACTCAATAGTTCATTTTTAAAGAGTTATTGGCGTTCTGTGTAACAAGCCGACCGGTCGTTTTGAGTATTAGAACCTCATTTTCTTATTTGATGCATCCCGTATGTTCATTTGACGTTATATGACTTGCGGCGATGGATGATTTGGTTTTCGTGGGGTTCGGGAGTGATTTGGAACACTTAGTTTCATTTTGGAAGCCTTAAATTGTAAGAGTTGACCAAGGTTTGACTTTTGAATAAACGACTTCGGATTAGTGATTTGAATGTTCCAATAGGTTCGTATGGTAATTTTGGACTTGGGCATATGTTCAGATTTGGTTTTCGATGTTCCTAGAAGATTTTGGCTTTATTTACGAAAGTTGGGAATTTGAAGAATTAGAGAGTTCTTAAGTTTGACCGATTGTTGACTTTAGGGTTATCGGATTCCGATTGTTGCTACGCGAATGTAGTTAAGTTCATTTTATTGAATGGAACTTGTATACAAAGTTTGGTTGTGATTCGAAATGACTAAGTATGAATCGGACGCTTGGATGGAAGTTTAGAAGCTTATGAAGTTAAGAGAGTTCAATGCGTGGTTTGGTCTTTGATTCTTAGATGTGATCTGATGTTTCCATATGTGTTTTGAGGCTTTGGATAGGTCCCGGTAGTGTTTATGGACTTGTTGGTATGATTGGATGGGGTCTCGGGGGATCGGGTAAGTTTCGGACCACCCGGAGCATGTTTGGTGTTGGCAGATTTTCTGGTGTTCATCGCGTTGGCAGATTTTCTGATGTTTGGCGTGTCCCGCGCTTGCGATGAAGGATTTGGGCTGGAGCTGTTGTGCTTTGCGTTTGCGAAGGGGTGGTCGCGTGCGCGAAGGCTGGAGGTCACTGAGGCATCGCATTCGCGAAGGTTCAATCGCGTTAGCATAGGGGAGTCAGGCGAAGCTTCGCGATCGAGAGGGTCTTCCTGCGATCACGATAGGTGAATTTCGGGGAGGCAGTTTGTGCTTCGCGAACACGAGGCTTGTGTTGCGTTCGCAGAGGGTAGAGTGCTGGCAGGGGCATTTTAAATCTAAATTTCGGGATTTTGTCCATTTTTCATATTTTTGAGTTTTGGAGAACAACAGGAGGAACCATCAACTTTATCTCCATTCTTCTTTTTTCGTTGTAGATAAATTTATTTGTGGCTTTGACATTACACGAAATTAAGGAGAAAAAGGGCCGGAAAGCTTGGGACAGAGAGAAATGTTGGGTTGGCCGGAAAGCTTGGTGTCGTCGGTACCGTATTTTTTGACAAGGTGGGTTTGTGCTCATAATTCCCTTCGTCTGGGTTTACTTAGGAGAATTTTTGTCACTTTATTCCTCCTAGTTTTGTATTGGAAGAGTGAACGAAACCTGAGATATAGAGCCATTAGTTAAGGACCTATAAATTTTATCCGGCCGGAGAATTTTCCGGTGACACCTTGTCTTCTTTTCAACGCTATTTCTGGTTCTAAAAAAGTATTTTTCAGCAAATACATGAAAAATCGGATGGAGAAAATCTCAATTGGAGAAGGACGGAGATAAGAATAAGGTCACCGGAAATGAATATTTTAGCCAAGCCAGAGCCATTGGTTCACTGCTTCTGTTAAAATGAAGAAAGAGAAAAAAAAACGAAAAAGAAAAGAAAAATGAATAAGAAAAGAGAAAAAATTAGTATTAAGTTTAATTAGTTATAATATCCAATAGGAAAGTGACACCTGGACAATTAAATTAGTTTTAAGTGGTTGTTTTTTTTGCCTTCACGCGCATCTACGAAATGAACTACACTTTTCACGCCAGGTCATCACTCAAGAGGGTATTAAACTCACTTAAGTTTAGAATAAGGGGGTAAAAGGTCGCCCGTAAAGTTTAGGTGTGTAAATGATTTTTCCGGACAAGTTTAATGGGTACTTTATGCATTTTCCCTTTATAATAACACTTTGTGATGCATATCATCTTTATATGTTAGACTCATTGAACCAATGTGAGTTTTGATAATTTCTTATATAAAAGCTTGATATTATTTCTGTTAATTATATCGGATCATCGTATACACTGTTTCTGTTAGATTCTTGTGTTGTATTTATTCATGGACTATTCAAGTTATGACAGTAATTATCAGTTGACCAATCTCGCTACTACTTCGCCGAGGTTAATCTGGATACTGAGTACATTGGATCGGTTATACTCATACTCCAGGTGTTGGCACTAGCAGAGCTGAGGAGTAGATTATTGTGGTGCTAAGAGACTCGAGGTAGTGCAGCTTGTTCATCCGCAGACCTCGAAGTCACCTTCTTTTCCTATTTTGAAACTATTGTCTATTTCAGACTATTGTATTTCGACACTCTTAGAGCAACTCCAACCTTGTCCCCAAAATGGGGTTTCACTCCAACCCTTCCCCATTTTTGTCCCCAAAATGGGGAGTGAATAGTGTCTTCCCAAATTTGGGGACACACTATTCATCTCCCTATTTACTATTGCCCATTAAAATATTTTTATTTTTATTATTTAATCTTTTAATTTATCTTTTTATATATACTTAATTATGTTTATATAATATATTTACCTAATTAATTTTTCATCTTAACTTTGACGTATAATTTTGAAAAATTAATTATCGTGCATCTATTTTTTTTTATGTAAAATTGGTAGTTAATTTTATTATGAGTTATAATTGTATGAAAAAGATATAACCATCACAAAAAATGAAAGGTGCAAATATAAAATATTTGATGTTGCTAAAATTAAAATACATTAAAATTGAAAATACATTAAAATTGGAAATACATTAAAATTGAAAATACATTAAATTAAAATACATTAAAATTGAAAATACATTAAAATTGGAAATACATTAAAATTGAAAATACATTAAATTAAAATACATTAAAATTGAAAATACATTAAAATTGGAAATACATTAAAATTGAAAATACATTAAATTAAAATACATTAAAATTGAAACTACGTTAAATAACATAATAATTTAGTAGCGAGACATGTCGTTTTCAGATACACCAAAATTATTATAGTACTGAGTGAATGGGGCAGATGATTGTTGTGGTTGTGACTGTTGTGGTTGTTGACTTCTTTTATACATTATTTGTTGTTCTTGCCGCAAATATTCACGACGAACTGGATCCAAAACAGAATCCACATCCATGGACATAATTTTACGATCATATTTCAATTCTTTTAGTCTTATTTTTTCTCTTTCAATGTCATTTGTTTCTTTTTGTCTCTCAGTTGCACTATTCATCGCCTCAACAATTCGATTATTTTGTGATTCGACTATCTTCATATAATCATCGTCGATTTTTCTCTTCATTTTTGCTTTCTTCACCCCACTTGATCGTTGTGATGGTGTGGAATCACCTGCAACATCCTCATTTAAATTTACTGAAAATGATAAGTTAGGAGATGATACACAGGGTGAATCAGGGGCACGAGCCTCAGAGTCCGATGATATATTAGCATCATTTTGCTTTCTTGTTTTATTTCTTTCAATATTGCCATCGTTAAATTTCTCAAAATCCTTTATTAGAGCACACATGATCAAATTTAAATCCTTTTTTGAAGTTTGGATCTTGCATAAATAAAGCTTTTGCTTGTGTAAGCTGCAATGTTTGAAAAAAGATAAGAAAAACAATAAGTAAATATATACAAATAAAGTATAAGTAACTACAAAATAAATACTCACAATGTCTTGCTCTGAAGCACCACTAGGACGCAACATTTCTACTTGACGTACACATCCATTTAATTTTCTTACTGCCTTCTCAATATTTGCAAATCGATGTTCTAGTGAAATTAAAAAATAAAATTGAAATGAAAGATAATAATATAATATAGAAGAAAGAAGAATATAAAAAAGAATATTCTCTTTTGGGGGGAAAAATGGGGGAATGCTTGGAGTAAGTTGTCCCCAAAATGGGAAAATCCCCATTTTGGGGACCAAAATGGGGGTAAAGGTTGGAGATGCCCTTAGAGCTCATATACTCGTTGACACCAGTTCCTGGGGATCATATAACTGATTTCTGCGTATTGGTGCCGATTCTAGACTTATTTATGCTATAAATCTCTATTAGACTTGATATATTGCTTCAATACTGTTGTTTATTCGGTTGTTTGGTGATTGGTTCGCGTAGCCAGCGCGTTAAGTGCCCTCACGATCATTGGTGGGATTTTGGGTCGTGACATAGAGGTTCGCTACAGCTTACTGATATACAAATCTTTGGACGAACTCAAAGATCCCTAGCAAACATGGACCTAACAAAAGCATACCAACCCAACTAAGCCTTAGTCGCAACTAGGTAGTAAATACAATTTAAGGACTCAATTTGATAGAAAAGGTCGAGTATTAGGGTTGTAGGTTACGAGGTAGTTGAGTCGTGCCTTACTTCGTACCATGGTGGGACTAGCCATGTAGGATTTTTGTCTAAAATAGCTAGTGGGAATGTTGTGGCTTACTATTTCGCTTTTCAGTGCATGTCCTATTTACTAGCTATCGCTTTTCCTTTGCATCTTTCTTCTAGATTTCATGGCGTTCCTATTTTTCTTATGACTGTTGTGGTGATACTAATATTTACTAATATCGTCTCCCTTTGCTTTGCATCTTTCTTCTGGATTTCATGGTGTTCCTATTTATCCTATGATTGTTGTTGTGATACTAATATTGGCTCCCTTTTTGTCCTTTTGTCTTTTAATTTTTTGAGCCGAGGGTCTTTCGGAAACAGCCTCTCTACTCTTTCGGGTAGGGGTAAGGTCTGCGTACACACTACCCTCCCCAGACCCCATTAGTGGGATTTTACTGGGTTGTTGTTGTTGTTGTTAATTTGATGGAAAAGGTATCCGGTATCCATGCTATATACCTACATGCTTAATAAACTATCTTTCCTTCTTTTCTCTCCCGAGTTCAAGCCAAAAAAGGAAAGGCAATCAGCAAAGATGCTGAACACTAAAAAGAAGAAATAACTTTGCTACAACATGTTAAACGATATTGATACTATAAAAATTAGTGTTTATAACTAAAATCTGGAACAAAAAGAAGAAGACTAAAACAGAAGAGAATCGAGCAGACATACTTCCACAAATAGCAAGTACTCACCAGTAAATAACGCGAAAATTGAGATCAAATATATGGATTGCTTGTCCCATTGATTGCAAAATGCTCAAGTACTGTCTATCAGTAAACTTGACTGCAGCTGGACCTGCACCTCCACCACAAGGCTCACTTTTACTATTACTCTCTCTTTGCAAAGGTGACGAATGCCGGAAAGAAGTGGAGCCCCTCTTCCACAATGCATCAAAACCAGCAGCAGAACCCCTAAGGCGAGGGGGCCGTTGAGGGGAAATAGAATGAGACCTTTGCCTCTCTGATCTTCTACCATCATTTGAAACCATAAGCTTAGACATCTCCTTTTTCAGCTGAGCATGCCCTGCCTCTAATTCTTGGATCTTCTTTAGCAACTCCTCTGTTGGGGCTGTTGCACCTTCACCTGAAGTTGTTGTCTCATCCATTCCCTCAAATTATGCACAAAATTCAATTTTTGAACAAACCACACTTCAGGTTTTCAGCACAAAATAAACCCCACTTAAGATTCAGCTGAAAATTCAATCTTGATCAAACCCTCAAGATAAAATCTCTACGACTATCGATCCATACCAAATTTGACAACAAACCCACTAATTATCTATGTCTGTATAGCCGTATACCCAAGACTATTTTTTGCACATTTGCAGCTGAAAGAATCAAGAAAATGGTAACTCTAGAATCTACATACCCTCAACAAGCGACCCTTTTCAGCTCTAGAATCTACAAGTGTAGTTTATGGGTTCTCAACTTCCCACTAAACTCCTCTTGATTATTGGGTAATAGAATATTAGCAATAGCTATCGGGTTCCTTCCAAACCGAATAGTCTAGCTCAACCCTTACTTCTTTATCATTAGTAAAGATTGTTGTGTTTTCTCTCTTTCTAATTGTTTCATTCATTCAATTCTTTATTCTTTTGGCCAAAATTTTCCTATTTTCGAACAAGAGTGCGTGGGATTAATGAGATAGAGTAACCAATTATTCTGATTATAGGGTGTCCGGGTGAATGATGGTCACTTTGCGATCTTGCGCGTTAGACCTTTACTATTTTCATTTTGTCTATTTCCTTTTTTTATAACTAATTTTTCTTAATGTGTAATTGTTTGATCTCGTAAATATTGGTGTGAATAATCATTCTCTAATAATGTTCGTATACTGCATATTATTTAATCTTAAGATATTGTTTGTTGGGAACAATTAATTGTTTGATATACTAGATGGCCCCATAACGACCGGCTGGTCGTTTTGAGTATTTTAGCATCGTTCCCCTATTTTTTGCCTCCTCTATGTTCAATTGTGGTTATGTGACTTGCCGGGGTGGTTGGTTTGGTTTCGGGAGAATTTCGAAGTGAATTGGGACACTTAGTCCCAAAGTTGGAAGCTTAAGTTGAAAGAGTTGACCAGAATTTGACTTTTGTGTAGACGACTCTGAAATAGAGTTTTGATGGTTCTGATAGTTTCATATGGTAATTTTGAACTTAGGCGTATGTTCGGATATTGATTTGGAGGCCTGCATGTCGTTTTGGCTTGAATTGGCGAAAGTTGGAAAAGTTGAAGGTTTGGAAGGTTGAGAGGTTTAACCGAGAGTTGATTTTGTCGATATCGGGGTCGGATTTCGATTCCGCAAGTTGGAATAGGTCTGTTGTGTCATTTATGACTTGTGTGCAAAATTTGAGGTCATTCGAAGTTGGTTTGATATGATTCGACATTAGTTTTAGAAGTTGAAAGTTCATTAGTTCATTAAGCTTGAATCAATGTGCGATTCATGATTTTTGTCATGCCCCAAAATCGAGGAGCGCGACCGGCGCACAACCGAGTGGGCCCGATCGATCAAGCATGTTAGACACTTTCTACCCAACTTGCTTATGATAAGAGAAGGCATGTTTTTATTAGCTAAACGGTAGAAGGACCATATATATATAGACATTACTAAACCATTTCATTTTTTGCTACTTCCTTGTTAAGTTTCAAAATACATACATTTTGTGGTTTAGTGGAACAAAAATCCAACATACAACATAATCTGTTTGACCTTTCTAGCACCATATACAACCCACATAGCGTCTACAGGGCCTCTAAAGATGCAAAAGAGTGTAAAGAAAGTGCCGGCAACAAGGCCCCGGCTATACCTCAAAAAGTACAACAATATAAACAAAAGATATATTACATGACCCCGGAATGAAATGGGGCTCACCGAGTCCGCCGAGAAGAGGATGCAACACTATATGTGATCAACATTGTCTGCTATGGAACCACCTGCATCCATTTAAAGATGTAGCGCCCCCGGCAAAAGGGACGTTAGTACTGCCGAATAACACTAGTATGTATAGTTAAACACCATCTCAATAGAATGAATAATAATACAAGAGGAACAGTCAAGAATTCAATAAGAGCTTTAAATAATATTAAAACATCAAGTTAAGGATCACATAGCTTTTTAAGTCAATTCCCGCATTATTAGGTTGGATGTTTTTAGTACCAAATTGCCACAATCCACAATACCACCGTGTTCTTACACGGAGTCCGATCTCGGCCCGATCAACTAAGCCATCTCATTTGAGACATCAATCATATTCACTATTTCATTCACAATACCACCGTGTTATTACACGGAGTCCGATCTCAGCCCGATCGGCTAAGCCATCTCATTTGAGACATCAACCATGTTCACAATTTCACTCGCAATACCACTGTGTTATTACATGGACTCCGATCTCGTCCCGATCGGCTAAGCCATCTCATTTGAGACATCAACCATTTCGATCGATCATCTAACTTCATATTTCTTTCCCATCTTTTCAGCACATTGGCACAACTGGCTTTAATTATAAAGTCGTTCTTGGCACTTGGCCTTATTTCATAATTCAAGTTCTTTTCCACAATCCAACATTTTTATTATCATCAATAACAATACGGTTTTCATTCAAGACTCTTCATTTCACATGTGAGCAATTTAGAATTCAAGGCACATAGAGGCTTTTCACACAATTTGGCATAACAGTCTGTAATCGATTTTGACTTGAAGTCTAGGCATATTAGCACATATTCTAAGTCTTGAACATTTTCTCAGATGACGAGATAACATGATGAAAGCATGGGAATACATATTACAAATATATTTGCAAAGCAAGCACATTCGGGATAGCAATTTCTAGGACGTTCAATTTGGGACTTACGTCGATTGCATGAATATCGTGGGATTCAATTCTAAGAAGAGGGAGTTTAGCCATCATATCTCAATTGAGCCTCTTAAAACTCTAAGATGTTCCGGAATATTAGTAACATCAATCTATTTTAGCAATATAGCAAAATTGAACCCAAAATTAGGAAAACAATCATAATTCTAGCTCACTTGAGCATTCTATCAAATACTATGTGTGTATTAAGGTTCCATGGCCCTTTTAATGAAAGACTTCACCATCCCACACCCCATTCTTTTCTATCTTTAACTCACAACCTCCCCACCTACCTTAGGAACACATGCATGTAAGGTAAGCACTCCCATCCCCATGGATTACCTTACTAATGGCCCATTCTAGTTATATTTTGAAATTAAGAGTTTGGGTGATAGAATCTTACTTCTTAGGAAGAAGACCTAGGTGCCTCCCTTGCTAATCTTCAAAGGTTTAAGCAAGAATTAAAGAGAAATTTTTGGTGAAGATTACTTTCTCCCTCTAGGACTCTCTCTCTCTCACTCTAAAGATATCAAAAATAAGCTCAAAATGGCCTAAGGTAGGTGTTTTAATGGAATAGGGTCGGGTTTAAAAACCCCAAAAATGAAGTTCTGGAACAGGTTCTGCGATCGCATATGGGATCGCATAATTGATATGCGGTCCGCATATCGATTGCATAATTTGGCCTCCAAAACTGGGCGTGACTGACCCGGTCTGCAGTCACTATGTGGCCCGCAGACCTGTTCTGCGGTCGCATAATGCACCGCAGAACCTCCCTCCAAAAAATCCCAAAGCGAGATATGCGACAAGAGTGCGGTCCACGAAGTGGTTATGCGGTCGCATAATGGCCGCGAAATTTGACATCAAAATGACCCAGAAAACTAACCCACTCTGCGACCATTCTGCGGTCCGCAAAGTGGTTCTGCGGTCGCAGAATAGGGCGCAGAAATGCCTACTTCTGCCCAACATTTTCTTCAACTCCCTAGCGCACTGTTCAATCCAAAAAGTCCGAACTCACGGAAATCCCGGTTTTTAGGAAAATTTTTACGGGGGCCTTACATCCTCCCCCAATTAAGATCATGCGTCCTCGAATGAGGATCAAGGTCCATGATCACGCCTAACTATGCCTTGTAAAAAGGACTAAGCGGTCGCTACAAATATAATCCGGTTCAAGTCCGGAGTCGAATCCCACAGGGAACTAACCTATTTACTACAACTTTTAATAATGCTAATGATAAGCTCAAACAATTTCCGGATGCAAGATTTTTAATAGAGTATAAGTGGAATTTATTTATCTAATGAAAAATGACAACAAAATTAGCAATAATCAAGAATAAGGTTGAATTCAAAGATAAAGAGGATCTAGGTCTATTGATTTCCCCAATTGCCAGACTAATTCCTGACACGTTAGCTATAATCTCGCCATAATACTCTATGAGGATTATGAGTTCCGGGCTACCGTAATTATCTCTCGATCAATTACGATAATTTACTAGAAGCATTCTCTCGAACTACTCTAGTTAACAATTTATGCAACTCAGAATTATCCTACCAAAGCTTCGTTATCTCTAACCCCGCTTTTAAATTCAAGTAATTAATCTCTAAACTTACCCGAAAGTGGTGTTGTTCAACAACAATCTAACCAAGTGTTCTTTCTCAAGCAACACAAGGTAACTAGACACGATTAATCAAGGGCCCTTTCAATTAATCACAACACAACACATAGTTGAACAATCATAGAATAAGAACGGCTCAATTATATCTAAACATAGTCAAAACCTCATCCAACAATTGGTTCCATCAACCCTAGATGATGAGTTTAGCTACTCATACTAATGGATAAAAATTCACTATAACAATTCATAATCAACAATGGAAGTAAGAAAAAGAAGATGAAAACTCTTAGGAAATTCTCCGTCTTCTCTCTCTTGTTCTTGCCTCCAAAATCTCCTAAACACAGCTCTTTTTTTTCTCTTCTAGGCGAATTAGGCTTCATATAGGTTTAGGTTAGTCGCCTTAGAAATTACATAATTGCCCTTGAGTTGTTGGCCTCCGTCCGCGGCCGCAGATTTTAGCCAGTGTTCTGCCTCCAGTGCACGGTCCAATTCGCGGTCAACTCCGCGGTCGCGCACCTGGAGGGGACCTCCCTGCTTTCTTTTCTCACTCCTTTTCGACCGGGCTACACTCCATATTGACTCCAAAACACTCTTTAGCTTCCTCCTAGCTCGGAGTGGCTCCTGCAACGCATAAAATTCTTAATTAGAGCATTTTGTTATCTTTTAGCATTTAAATATTAATAAAGTGCGGTTAATTTAAAGTATAGATAGTGCCTAAATTGCATAAATATAGCCTACTATCAACACCCCACACTTAAATCATTGCTCGTCCCTGAGCAATCAAACCACACTCTACAGAGGCCTAACTTCACTGAGCGACTTCCCTAACTCATCACACCAAAAATATTTCACATAGTTTGAGTATACATTAGTGTAACATCTACACCTCAAGAGTAGACTCCCGCGAGCCACGCAATATTCCTAACTAGCTTACTTACTCTATTCAGAGGTCCATACTTACCTCTCCTTCGTGAATCAAGTGCCTGCTCATTATAAAAGAGACTCATTCCACAATCATTAAAATTCACGCACACTGAGGAACTTCAAAATAAACAGAATTCACTCACCCTCAGAAATGATATTCTTGTGCCACAGAAAACGCTCCATAGGCTTGCCCGTAGTGTACTACTCTACTAATTGAGCTTATTCAGTCTAGGATCAAGTAGGACTTATTTGGCTGTAATATAGGCTACAGGTCGGGTAG